GATAATGTGATACAGAGGAAGTATTGATTATTAAAAGTAATTATTTTGATTTTTGAACTTATAGGGACAAGTTAGGGTTCTCAAATAGTATCTTTTTGGGGCTAATTTAGAATTACTCATTATTAGTATTTTGGGGCTAATTTAGAATTACTCATTATTAGTATTAGTGAATCATGTACAAAGTGGGATTAAGATGTTTTTACTTGGACTAACACTTTTTAATCTAGTGTGATCTGATTTGGTTAGTAATTAATTTACATCTTTAGAAGCCATCAATGATGGAGCATGAGGATGAACCGATGAAGGAAAAAGGAAGATGGTGCCGATGATAATTTATCCTTACACGACTTGAAATATTTATACTAAAGGTTTCAAGATACCGGTGTGCGTAGCTCAACTGGTAGTAAGGGAGTCCACAAGGGTTAGGTCTCAGGTTCGAATCCCGGCAACTGCGATGAGAGGTTACTATGCTGAAAAATGCATAGGGCCTCTGCAAGTACCGGGGACAGAGTCTCACTCTCTATCTGTCAGATTGTGATTATAGTCCAATTTACATCCTCCCATCGTGCCGTCCGGTCGGTGGTGGGGGCCCCTCAGGGATGGGGTGTCATCCTTTTTTACTAAAGGTTTCAAGATTTGAGAATGACTTTTTACCACGAATGCGTACAAACAGCGTTTGGAATCTGAAGGATTGTCCAAATTCAAGTAGGATACTCGTCCATCTAATTTATCCCTAGACTTAACTTGAATGTACATATTTGGACAAAATGTTACACTTCAACTATTGGGGTGATGGCTTTGGCTATAATAATGATATTATCCCAACACAACTAAAACTTTGATAAGTCTAACCTTTATTCTGAAATCTGAATACTCAAAACCAATGTATATAACATTAGAAGCTATAAGGAAATGGAAAACAAACGATAACACAAATTGCTCCAAAGGCAATAATACATTAGATAAAATATTCTGATTATTGGTTTAGCGAATGCGATAATACATTAGTGAAATAAACGATAACACTGTATATTCTGAAATTTGGTTTAGCGAATGCTATAATACATTAGATAAAATATTACCTAAAAATAGTTTGAAGTTATTACAAAGTAAGATTACTCACTTTTTTGGAATAAAGAGACTTATATTGAAATATCAAAATTCAGGCAAACAACAAAAAGACAAAAGTTCACTCTCTCGAATCAGACTCAGAGTGAACCACCTTTCTAAAACCAAATATGATGATCCTATAATGAGCATAACTGAATCAAAGGCGATCAAAATAGACTTTCCATCACTAAACATAAACTCAATAGTCTGACTACAAAAAAACAAAAAGAGAAAAGGGCCAAATAAGGCTTTCTACTATTATGAAATAGTCACATAAGGCCATATACTCGATAAAGTGTCATATAAGTACCTCTACTTGTAAAAAGCAATCAAATGGGTCCTAATGACCTCTTTAACACCTCTTAATCCTGCTTTTAGCGTACTTCTGACCATCTTTTTAGAATAGAATATACGGCATACGTCGAATATTTAACAAAGATTGATTGAAATACAAGTCAAAAAATTCGACATGTAAGCTAAAACCGGGATTATGAGGTTGTAAATAGATCGTTATGACTTATTTGATTGTTTTTTACAAGTAGAGGTACTTATATGACACTTTATTGAGTACATGACCTTATACGACTATTTCATAATAGTAGAAGGCCTTATTTGACCCTTTTCTCAAACAAAAACACAACCAAAATAACATCCTGACTCATAAAAACAGCCAAAATAACATCCTGACTAAAAAAAACCAAAATAACATCCTGACTAAAAAAAACCAAAATAATAAGAAAAACATAGCAAGTAGAGAAAGACTGCCTCCCCAATATATCAAGAAGCACGAGCTTGCCCTCTCAAAGACCCAGGCGGGCCCGATAGCCAGCACCCGCCCCTATCCCGTTTTCTGGCTCATCTAGAGCCATTTTGTCACCATTCTGCGTTGCTTTCTCCAACTCTTCCTCCCACATCTTTCTTCTCTTCTGGTCCAATTCCATGCTAGATGTTCCAACTTCTTTGCCCTTTACCTCCTCATTTTCTGACACTGTGACTAGCCAACCCTGATTCCCTTCCACCTTAGGTCTAGTCTGCCAATCTGCTCTGTCTTGCTTGGGCCTTGCCGGTTTGTAGCCCATTCCATCCGATGAAGATCCCTCTTAAACAAGCCATTTATTAAAAACTGTGGGTCGAAATTTCCTTCCTCCTGATCTAAGCCATGACCCAAAAGATTTCTTCAAAGACTTATGCCTTTTCTGTACGTCAAAAGATAGAACTTATCTGCATGACCAAGGACTCCAGACACAATAGGCAAATTTTCATATTTAAATTCCATCCAATGTTTTTTTGATTGTAGTTTTAGTCTTTAGAGATTTTCCTACATCCAAACAGACTCTTATACGCATATACGCTTTTTACTTTTCGTCAAACCGACTCTCATCCAATTTAATAAAGGTTCCCACAAAGTTATTAATCACTTTTGCTACCTCTAAAGTCATATAGCCATATGACACATTATGCACCTGAACCAAAATTTAGTTGTATTTAAAGGTCCCCTGATTTTATTGATTTTTATCATACTAACTACTACCTCCGTAACATTGGGATGTTCCCATTTGAAAAGTAGGTAGATTAAGAATAGTGAAAGGAGATATATATTATTAGGGGTATGATGGGAAGATAGTGAAATAATGTGATGGAATGAAGGATAAATCCAAAAAAAGTAGGTGTAATAGTGTATTATTTTTAAAATTATTGAGGGTATGATGAGAAGATTTAGAAATGAGAAGATATTAGTGTTACGTCCAAAAAAGGAAAGTAGGAAGATATTAATGTTCAGAGGAAGTATATGATTAAAAAATGAAAGGACACCTCTTATCTCCTATTTTCTTGATCGAGACTCCTCTACCCAGACGCCATATTGAAGTCATTAAATCTTTGAAAATATGGAATTTCAACATCTTGTCGGTGATAATCATGCCCACCACCAGAAAAACCTCCCTGTCGACGTCCTCTTGTGCACCATCTTCTATTCTTCACCCTCAAAAACCAGTTCATCTCCTCTCCTATATCTAACTTGTCATATTGGTTTACCATGGTTTTCATTTTGATAGACAAACGACTGATGCTCCTACCTTGCGTTGCACTTTCTGTTTAATCGACAAGAAACTCAAACCACTTCGAGGTAGAGACTGCCCCAAATTAAGATTACTTACTTTGATATATGATATTCCCTACATACTACATACGACAAACTTCGTAAACCAACAAATAAATCAGAAAAACATACGGAGTATAAGCAATTCATGATTTGTGATCAATGTATGCATGTACTTTATCACAAGAAAAGAATTACACACTGATCAAACATGATTTTTGGGGGGGCATAGGTAGTATTCCTTAAGCTGTTAAATATCAAGGACAAATTACGAATGGTCTAAAAGTATAACAAGGTGTTAGGAATAACATGCCAGTAGTATTCCTAAAGCCCTTAATACATAAGAAACCCCAGCTAATCGCGTTAAAATGTTAAAGTACACCAAAAACCCTAGCTAATCACGTCACCCTAATATTACCTTACTTTCATACGTCTTCCTAGAAGTATCATTGAATTACCCTATTAATATGTAAACTGGAACCAAAGAAAGGTAATCTCACATTACTTTTCTCACATTAACAATGTAATATAAGATTACCTAAACCAAATGACTCTAACAGTATTAGGGTTTAGCGTTTGAAACTTTGAATGACATGTATTTAAACTCTTCTTTTTGAAACCTCTTAAGGTTAGGCCAATGCAGGGTAGTCAAAAGCGCGCGCCTGAGCGCTTAAGCGCACCAGGCGAGGCGCATATGAGAGTCAGCGACTGTTAGAGTCCCAGGCGCAGCCAACTGAGTGAAGCGCAAGTGAGGCGCAATAAGCGCAGAAGCGGTGAAGGCCTTAAGCGCAAAAAAGCGCACGCTTCAGTCGCCTGGCCTGGGAAAGGAGTAGCAGCCTATTTATTTGTTTGGTCCTACTTTAAATAACAAGCCCATACTTATAATAAGATTTAGCCCATTCAAATAACAGGTCAAAATAACTTAAACCCATGTTAAGCCCTTCTAACTTCTAAGTCATGGTAAAATAACTTCTATAGCGTGACTTCATCGTTACTCTGCTATGCTCTACTCGTGCAACTAGTTCAGCGCTGAAACAACATTCAATGATCAACCCACAGAAGTCAGAAACCCATAAGGTGTCTTTCTTTTCATCATCTTCCCATGTTCTTTCATTTTTCTGTTTCAGATTATAGTTTTCATTTATTTTGTCATCTTCATTGATCCTTTCTTTTTTATTCTTTCAGTCTATCTTCATCCTTTACTTCTATAGTTCTCTTTTATTCTTATATATTTTATACAACTCAAACATATTATATTTCTCTTTGCTTCTTATATATTCTATAATTTATAGTTCTCTTTGCTTCTTATATATTCTACACTTTATAGCTCTCTTTGCTTCTTATATCTTCTATACTTTATATGCAGTCTATAACTATATATATCTTCTTATTATCAGTTCATATTATAATTTTATTAAACTTCATATAATCTAACTTAATTAATAGTTTCATACACTACACAATTTATGCTACCCCAATCCTCAAACCTCAAAACCAGCTATTGAGAGACATGACTTTTTAATGCATTTAGTTCAATATGATGTTGAATATGTCATATTTGATCACTCTAGAATAGTATACATAATATTTTCTACATAGTGCGCTTGACATGAGTCAGGCGAGCGCTTTTTTGCGCCTTGCGCCTCAGGCGATATAAATACTCTAGCGCCTTGAGTGCGCCTCACGACTTTGACTACCTTGGGCCAATGTCTCGAATAAGCAAGCGCAACCGATATCTAGTATCCATTTTGTTCTGTCCTACTCATGCAATAAGACAAGACACTACCTGTTTTCAGTTCAATTTTGTAATGATTAATATGGTATAAGCGAAAAAAATATATATTTAAGAACTACATCAAAAGTGTTGCTAAACTAAAGGTGATTCACTATTCAGTATTAAACAAATACTACATATTAAAGAAAATAAGCCAAGAAAGAAAGTGTTGTAAATAATGTTAATATTTGAAGTATGAATGACCTGCAGGCAGGACTATTGGTAGTACAACATTCTAAAATGGTGGGAAGGGGCAATTGGTGGCTGGCTTCCTGTATGAAGTAAGAGAAAGCACCATCTATCTTGAATTTCATGATGGAGCCGATCAATCTCTTTCAAGGCGTCCAATCTTCTTTAGTTTCAAGTACAATATTGATGCCAGCAGTTGCAACTATCTGTTCTATTGTTATAAAGTTGTGGGCTGGTTAATGGGAAAAGAAGCCAGTAGAATCCCAGTAGCCCAGCTAGAAATGCCAATGTTATTGTTCCTACAACTCAAAGACAATTTGAAATTGAACATTAGTGTGTTGAGCATATTTCATTAAAGAATAATACTTTTTGTACATCAAGCGCTAAAGTGAGGTTCACTGAATATAACTGGTTAGGCTTACTGCCTTACTGGAAATCTTTTTCAAAAAACTTGTGGGGTGAAGTTGACTCGAGGAAATTCAAAACCTTTAGAATCTGAAACGAGGAATTGCAGAATCTGAAGTTAAGGAAAGAAAGAAATTAGAAACTGGCAAAGCTTATTGCTTCTTGAGTAGTCCACAATTTTTTAGAAGGTTTTAGAAGCCCAAACCAGTAGTATGGAACTTCAGAAATAATTGATGTCGTTTTTCACAAGTTCGCAATTTTAAAGCAAATTAATTAGCAGCTTCTTAATAAAGGTAGCTTTCACTCATCCAAAAAGAAACACCTTGACACGCAGAAATGCCCAATATAAAGACTAAATATTGTAACCATCAAGGACAGGAAAAGAAACTCTAGTATTTAAAGCACACATGATCAATCATGTCTATTGTCTCCGAATGTTGTATGTTTACCTAGGCGTAGTAGCGAGTGCCCATTATGCATAAAAGTGCATTATGCATGTGTATATGACTTTAAGTGGCAGATCCTTTACATTGAAAAATACAACCCAATAAGTTCTGACATACCTGATTGAGGAGAATTTATGGCGGGCAAGCCCATATAATTACAAAAGATGTGAGCAACAAGAGGTGCAACCAGATGCCCTGATATAGAAAAGGGTGGGAACAAGCAAACTTTATACTTTTGCCTCTGTATGAAAAGAAACCAAAAGAAGAAAAGAGGGGGGGGGGGGAGGGGGGGAAGCACAGTCAAGTTGAAAATATGATAGGACTTTGTATGAGCAGTTAGTACACAAGCTGGTGAGGTGATGTGCAAATTAAAATCAATACTTCAACTCTTTTTCAGGTAAAAAGAAATAAAACCCTTACTCCCATCTGACCATTGTCACGAATGAATTTTATTTATATTATATTAGGCCAAATTTAGAAAATGTAATTATTATCAAGTGTCTATGCTCTTTAATGTTTCCATCATTTGCAATGTAGCCAAAGATTCACTATTTTTTGGCTTGAGAATATGATGGAATAAAGCAAAATGGTTCACTAAACTGTCTGCGCTTCTTTGTTATGAAGCAACAATCAGTCCATGCAATTTTCGATGCAATTTTCACTATGTATCATCCGGAAACAATCTCTCTATGCTTTAGTGCAGGGGTAAGACTACATACATCCAACCCTCCCTTACTCCACCGTAGCTGGGAGCCTTAGCGGCACTGAGGTGATGATGATGCTGATGTCTATGCTCTTTAGTAAAAATACTCCGTATAAATTTTTAACTTGACTCTAACAGTCTAACTAGAAGTATGATGTCTATGCTCTTTAGTAAAAATACTCCGTATAAATTTTTAACTTGACTCTAACTAGAAGTATATTAGGCTGATAGCAAAATGCCAAGGAGGATATTATGTAGAGCATTGTTCCTAAAAATACAAAAAGTCTGCTAAATCAACAATCACATTTTAAAATTGAAACTAAGGAAGAAGATCAGGGAAGTTAATCAGCAGAACAAGCATAAGATAAGTGTAATATGAAGTGATGTTTAAGCATATTCCACCTGTACGAACATATAGAAAGGAAGCATATGATCCAAATATGACAGTGTAGCCAAGCTGGAAACCTGCAAAATTGAACACAAAAATAAAATAATTAGGTCAGTATACCAGGCAAGTGAACTACAAACGATCATTTATTTTGACACTTCATCACCAAGAATTATCTACTATCCAAGAATGGAAATCTCCGGAATGCCCACCATGAAGTGGAAGAGAGTAAGAGGAGTTTTTCTTTCAGCAGTTTCAAGTACTGAGAGCACAGAGTGGTTATACCTGCAACCATAAAAGCTTTGAGCATGCTGCCTCTTTGCTGGGCATATTCCAATAAATGGTTCAAATGAGCTGCAAGGACACCACAGTTTACTTCACTTATGTTATTATCAAATTATAAAGGGCAAAATGGCAAATGCATGATAGACGTAGAAGAATAAAATGAAAATTAGCAAAACAAAGGAAGTCAATCAAGAAAAAATGACATGTATGACTACTCACAGTCACTGTGTATATGTCACTTTTTTGGAAAATTTTAAAACAAGTCATATTTTTGTCTTTTGAATTTAATTTAATAATATTCATGGAAAAAGGCCAAAGATTTATGGTCTTGATTCTTGATATCAGGGACTTAAATATCACTCCTATAGTCCTTCAAATCAACTTATTATTTACATTATTTGCAAATTTTGAAAGATTATAAATAAAGGCTTCTTTTTAGTATAGAGTATTGAGTGATTGTGGTATACACTAGGCTGTGGGAAAGTTACGTTACGGGAGAATACCTTCTGGTATTTCATGTTCTTTTCTATCTTATTCACGTAGTTTCTTCATTTTCTTTCTATTTTATAAAACATCTTCTTAGATTATTTCTCCCGCTGCCTCTTTACTCTCTATCAGTTTAGGATCGAGTGTTGGTCTAAGATGCATTGCGGAAGTAGAGCGAAGTAGAGCATTGAGTATGAATAAGTGATAGGGTTTAGCCGGGGTCCAGGGAGATGGTATCCTTCAATGGTACGTTAAATGTTATAAATTAAAGCTCTACGAAACTGTTTTCATTCAATAATGCACTATTAAGTGGTCCGTAACACCCTCATTCAATTTTCAGTATATGCATTCCATGAGCTGGATATATATATATATATATATATATATATATATATATATATATATACTTATTTCCTCAGTCCTAATAGAAAAACAAGTATAATCCCTGATGCTTGATGTATTCCATGTGCTGAAACTTGTTTCTTACCTAAACTGAAAAATATGGGACAAAGAAACACGACAGTATACATATTGAATCCTCCACAAGAAAGCAAAGGGATCATACAAGCTCTAAAAACAAGCTCTTCTGTGAGTGGTGCCTGTTCAATAAAACAATGTTGATATTATTGAACACTTGGTCTAAACGACAAAAGAACAAATTGCTTTGCTATTATGGAGTATACAAATCAAAGAGGATAAACTCAAAAACTAAGCTGCAACTATCTGCATTTAATGACTTCGGGCCTACGGCATATCACGAAAAAGAGTGTATTCTCCAAAATCAGAAAGTAAAGGCAATGAAGTAACACACAAAAAAAGAACAATCTTCAAATTTAAGTTGCCTCTATTAACCTTGTCTTGCTCGCAATTGTGAATCATTTTTCTGTGCTTAATATTTCCTTTTCAGTAAATAATACACTAGGGCTACAGATATGTTTTGAATCTTGAATATCCGTAATCCTGCAAAAATACTTTTGAGGTTTTTCTAACTTTAGAACTATCATCATGCTTCATGTCGTTAGCTTTTTATTCAATGCAACAGAATATTCTATTGTTATTTAAAAGGAAAGTGAGAAAAGGTCATACAACTATAATTTGTAAGAAAAGTACATAAACATTTCTTGAAATTGTTTTATCGATAGCAAGCAAACATATAAGGTACATCCAATGAAATTGCAAACTACAAATCTTCATGATCAGTAAGAATATAGTCAAAGAGTTTCGGTAAATGGATCTGAATTATAAAATGCAAAGCACACAAATACACCCAGTATCAGGAAGAAATGATATGTTTCCTTCGAGGGAAAGATTAAATAGGTTCTAGTACTTTTCCCTCAAGTATAGAGTTTGATAGTGGTGAAAGGATAAATGAATCAATTTATCCAACTCACGATATCAGTACCACAACTTAGTTGAGTTCTTTTTTTTCATCAAATGCCACATTTTATTATATATGAAATTTCTATAGCAGATGCAGTTTTTGGTAAACCAATAACTTCACATACTGCAAGTTCAAATGTCTCACATACTCCATACTAAAGTCATATACATTGACTATTCCATTACAATAGAAAATTATATGTGTACTCATTAGGTCGTAAGTTCATGGGTGGAAAGGAACTAGATGCAAAGTATTAGGAAACACTGCTTAAAAATTTGATCAATTTGTAACATGTTGATGGTATAACATGGAAAACAATTAGATTTGGCCAGGAAATTTATGAGATCAATAAATTGGTGAAAGTACTGACCACAAAATAATTACGCCAAGCTGAGACATTAGATGCTATTGAAAAAACTGAGTTTATGAGCATTTTCGGAATCGTTTTAATGTACACTGACAAAACCCTTCTACCATCATTATCATTGCAGGAACGCAATAGCAGCAAACCCTTCGTGAGAGATCCAACATACATAAGAGCGGTTAAAGATAGAGGATAGGCAACAGCTTGCCACTGTTTCACAAACAAACAATACATTTATTAGTACTTGCACTTTTACAATCTTTGCATCAGATGGGCTTACTATTGATTATAGCAAACCAAACAACGTATCACGCAATGAAAGAGATTTCTAGAAGTCGGAGTTGATACTCACTATGTGGTCTGCTCTGATACCAAAAGCCTGCAGCAAGTTTGATGCATTCCACCTTATCTAGAAACATATTAAGAATCTTAAAATTCAGGCCATTAAACAAATCAGAAGGTATATAACAACAATGTTTCACCCAGTTCCACTGACATTTTAATGTGAGGCAATAGAGGTTATATATTCGAAATTAAATAATGATCCGGAATAAATATTTTTCTCTTCTTTTTTGGACAATCCATTCAACAACAATTCTTCATATGGCGACCCTTTAACTTCAATGTAAAGATTACAGTCGATCTTTCTACAGAACTTTATGTGTAGCATAAAATGATCAAGATAGCTGTACCGTAGATACACGAGTTTAGTTTCACTTTTCGAAGATATCCACTATTAAAGAAAAAGCGCATTTTGGATTGGAGCTTACAGGGAGGATGATAGAGCAGGCTATGAGGGAGGCGACGGTGGAAACGGCAGCACATATGAACCGGCGAACCATGAACGATTTAAAGGAATTAGCCGGCGGCAAGCGGAGAATCATAGTCGGAGCATATAGGACTGCGACGTAAGATAGCGCCATGGTAGTACATGCCAGTACGGCGGTCCATTTTGAAACGCCAGTGGTGCTGGAAGCTAGAGCAGCACTGTCTACTTCCTCCATCTTCATCGGAGTAAGAAGCGCAGACGTTGTGGATTATTCACAGTGTTTTGAGTCGGTTTGTCGGTAGACTCCATGTTGACTTTCCGGCAAGGAATTCTTCTGGCTCTTCGTCTTGAATTAGAATGGACGGAAGGGCATTTAAGTCATTTAAATAGGAACAGTACAAAATAGTGACATAGAGAGTCCGTTTGGTAGCACGAAAATCGGCATATTTGACTGATTCTGCTGAAATTTACGAAGTTCTGGCTGAAGTGGCTGCATTAGCTGATTCAGCTGATTTAAGAACAAAATAATTTTAAAATATATTTTATTAATAAAATAAAGAAAAATTTATATGTAAAATAGCTAAAACGATCATCTACAGTAACTTCAGGCAATACAGCCAGAAAAGTAACTTCAACCTTACTTTTTCTGCTTATTACAAAATTCAGCGCGTGAAAGCAAAAATTATGTGTTTTATGAAAAAGTTGGTTGATAAGTCAGAAAACAGTGTCGACAAACGACCTCAGAGTCTCACGCTTTTAGCAGACATTTCTTCTCGGGTAGGCAAGGCCCGATCCAATATTTAACCGAGCTGTACTCGTACCGTGATTATTTAAATGGTTCGGTTCGCTATTGTCTTAGACTTAAACTTATTTGTTACGGTTCAATTTTCAAATGGGAAAGTACCATGTCAATGCCAGTACCAAACAATGCTTAAAGTGTAGTCATTCTCCAAAAATCTACACAATTTATCAATTTTTCATATTACATAATTAATAAATTTTAGATAAACTATTGTAGCACAAATTTAAAAATTAAACTATACTTTGACCCGATTCTCAGTTTCCAGTGAACTAGCAAAGGTTGTTAAAGTGTGAAGGAACTAATCAAAGTAATTGTATAAATGTACATTTAAATAATTAAATCATACTTCGATCCGGTTCGGTTCGGTTCAGGACAAAAATTTTGAGATTCATTTCAAACCCTGTTTTTCAGTTTGGTACCATGTCGGTTCGGTATTTTTGCTCATGCCTAGTTTCTTCACTCGGTGTTATTGAAGATATTAGAAAACTCAGAGTATCTCAATCTAGATGTCTCTATCTAGATGGACTTTGTCAAATTCAAATTAGGTGATAAATAAGAAAAGTAGAATTGTTAGGTTGAGGTTTATCTAGATGAGAGAGAATTAAGCAGAATTACAAATTAGTTGTTTTAATAATAAAGTGACAAAGTTTTTTGGTATATAACAAAAAAAAAATTGGCAAAATCCGATTGGACGGAGGGAGCAATTATTTTTAGCGTATTTTTGCAACAAAAAAAAATTGCTTTTGGTTTAAAAAAGCAAAAAAGTGTGTTTTGAGGTTACAATTTCTGCTTAACTTAAACATGTAAAAGCTAAAAGCTAGAATCTCATTTTTACATTTTCTATTACACTACCAACTTTTTATTTTCAAATTCAATTTTTTCTCAAACACTAGTCTTTTACTATTAAGCACTTTTTTTCCATAAAAAGCGATTTTTAATGCAAAAGCTATTGCAAAACACTCTTAATACCATTAGCGCAGGTCATATTTAGCGATATGTGAATCGTATTGATCGCAATTTTATGAGAAAAGCCGTTTGTATGCGTAGTTGTGGTTTTTGGTAGAGTAGTCACCCTCAGTTACTAGTCGCCATGTACGAATAACTGAACAAGAGTTATTGCAGAATGACAAATCACTAGAAACTAGTTACTGAATATGTTACTTTTTAGAAAATTTTAAAACAAGTCATATTTTTGTTATTTGAATTTAATTTAATACCATATGAATAATATTCTGAAAAAAGGCCACATAAAAACACGGCATAGAGAAAATATAAGATGTTTGATCAAACTAAACTTAAATCGACCATCTCAAATTAACTTAAATAATGGTAACTTACTCATAAAATTAATCAAATCGGATCAGATTAGACTTAAATAGTTAGACTAACTTAAAAAATGAGTCTAATTAAAAACATATACTAAATGATGTTACAAGTTGATACATACTAGTATTAAAGAAATTCATAGTGCATGTAGCTTTAGTTATATTTAATTTATCGTTGTTGTTGCTTTGCATATTGCTGAACGTCGCGAACATCATCATAGACTCATGGTGGTATGTATCATGTATGTCTATTTCTATCATAATTTACTTGTTGAATGATGTTTTTATATTGTAAATCATCACCACTACGATTATTGCTCATATGGCATTAATGCTTGTTAACTTGTTATATCTTCCCTGACATGCTCAAAAGTTTGGAAAATGTTCATCCCAACAGCTAATATCTTTTTCTTAATCAAATTTACCTCTTTTATGAAATGGGTCCATTTGCAACTCAGAACCATATTGCCGCAAAGCCGCAAACCAACTGAGTAGCCTAGAACTAGACCAGGAATCAAAACCCGTTTTCATCCCGGTTCTTAAACAATGATTTGAACCCATTTTTATGTATTCAAAAGATTAATTCAAGTTCTAAAACTCTTTGAGTCTACATTCCCAAATTAAATCGTTTCACTGATAATTTTTTTGTAATTACTAATTCCTTGAGAGCTCTTAGATGTTCATTCTAATATATCATCTAAGATGTGATTCTCATCTGTACCCACACATTACACATATATACCAACATAATCTTTGTACTTAAATAGGCGTAGTGAGACACATAAATACAACACTTTTGATTAATTCAAACTAGACTCAAGTTTCAAGTGCAAACTTAATCAAGTTGTGAACCACATAGCTGCTCACAAGCTAATCATACACTATGTCCCTATGTGGGATTACACACTAATCTCACACGGAGTAATCTGAGCCCATAATGAACACACCCTTTCATGTTGATCAATACCAATTTTATAGATTCCCTAAAAAAACCAATTTTATAGACTTGGAAAATGCAATATAGAGCACATCATTCTCTTCTTCATCAATTCGATCATATCAGCAAGAATAAATAGTCATTAGTTTTCTATGTACAGTTCTGTAGAATTGAATATTTGAAGGAGATAGTATGCGCTTTCGAGGCACCAATTCCTCTTTGAACTCTTATAGGTGAGCGTATTGTACACACAGCGGCTCGGGGAAGGAAACACACTGATTGACTACTCCATAATGGGGCACATGAGCCTGGATATATTGTGTTAAACAAGTACAAAATCTAACAATTCAATTATGGCAAATCTCATTGGATACTGACCCTTGCCTTTAGGATCCGCCATGCATTGAAGTAGTCATAAAGGACTCACCACAGCCACATTGACCTTTAGAATTAGGATTAATGAATACAAACTCTGATCTGTACATACATGCCAAGATTAAACCTCAGAAAGATGATATAAATAGTTGGTACGTGAAAGATGCATAACTCATTTGAAATATGGGCTTTGTGGGCAGCGTATATTGTACAACATAGTGGGGGAGAGGGGCGCGTAAAGTGAACTTACCTGAGCTTATCGTCAACAAAATCCATTTTAGTACCAATAACATGCATTAATGCCTTCGGGTCAATCAGTATCTTCACTCCTTTCTCCTCAACAGCTTCATCAAATTTTCCCTTCTCATCTATCCATTTCAAAAGTTTGTACTTTCAATTGGTCAGTGTATAAAGACATTCAAATTTAAGATTATAACATCACATTCAGGCTCATGGATCGTATAAAATTGAATATTAGAGTACTATACCATTTCATAAGACCACAAAGGACAATTTAAAAACTCAGATGCACAACGGGAATTAAAGAAATTGGATATGGAACCAGTCCAATTGCCAGGCGCATTGATTACCTGATTGCGTGCAATTGTGCAAATATACAAAAAAATCCCATAACTTGTTGAGATGCGCCCCAAGTCCCACATCGGAAAAATAAGTAAAATTAACCTTGAATTTAAGTATCCACCTAGCTTCACTAGCATGAACATGAAGCCTTTTGGCAGGTACCAGGAAATAGATTCATGCAAGCTTGGCCCAAAGCTGACTTTATCAGAGACAATGTATAAAGATAGTCTTCCTGATATTCTGTTCACCAGGCCTGTCCAGTTGGTTGAATAGCAGCAGTGCTAGATGATTTGATGGATCAAATGGATTATCACTGGAGAAGAGGCCATGAGCTTTGAGGTCCTTGGTTTGAGGCATAAAATTGCAGGCTTGATTCAAAGCGCACAATATCAAACTAATGAAGTTAGGTGGATACTTATATAAGTTATATTCATGGTGACTCTTCCTTTTTTCAAATTGGGACTTCGGATTCATCCTAACGTAGCTGAGAATGCAAAACACACACAAATCTAATCAACCAATAGGAAATTTGATGACTAAGAAAAAGGCCATTGCACTTTGACTACGGCTATCATTTTTAACTCATACGTGAGGCGATGAGCATCTAGACTCATGGTCACTGTTTCTACTTGACAATTCAATAAGCTCTAACTTTCATTACATGATTATGAAGTGGCTCAAACTTACTCACTTTTGTTCCATGATAAAAATTATTTTAAGACTTTCCATATACTTGACCTAATAAAACGATGAGGAAACTTTGTTGTTCTTGTAGTTTTCCAGGAGAAATAATGATGTGTTCTATCGTCACATGCTCACATAAACTTTTTGGGGAGCTTTTTTGACCTAAAAATTCATGTTCAATTTAATCAAAATCTGCATTATCCTATAACATGAAATTTCAATATGTAAATTATTTTGAGCAAACATTTCATAGTAACTAATCTGTCCATATTGTTCCATTTGATGCTTTGATCCCTCCTCATCTCACTAAGACAGTTCAAGTGCATGTGTAATGAATTCAGCCATTCAGGTACATGCGCAAACTGAGATTTAATAATCATTGAAATCTCAAGTATTGCAACTCCATAAAACTTTCATCTACTGATTCCACAATTTATTTCTCCATTGAATTTTGGCTATATATTCAATATTCACTATATTACACTAACAATTAGAGATTCTCTCCTCCTTCAAAAAAGAATTATTCCTAGGCATTGAGGGGGAACTTGAGAATGTTGACAGGCAACACAGTAATTAGAGTGAACAGATGAACACTGGTGCTATTTTAATCATGTTACATGCACAAACAAACTGCGCCCACAATTATAAACCCGTGTTTGCTTGTACAGTCCAAATATTTGACATTTAACACTTTCACCATAAATTCAAAATTGCAAATAACCTGTACAAATCCGAATTTATTGAACTTCTTTTGGTTAAAAAAATAATATAACTGCTATTTATCATGTTTTTCCTATGAAGAACGAAAACTTTTTGTGGCTCACATCTCCCATTTCACAAACTCTATGGTGTGTCGAAAAATTATAAACTTCAAATTCCCGTTTAGGGGCTGTTTCCGTAATCATGAAGAATTAAGAAAGCCGTTTCCCTAAATATTTCCTTCAGAAATATCTTTGGTGAATTTTTATGGTATTTCTTCGTGTAACATTGAGGCATTTCATAACGCATGCTATAAATGTAAATTATGTGATGCATTCTATGTTTAATTATGCACTAATGTTTCCAAATTTGAACATGCAGTATTTATCATTGGCTTACTAAACAAGTTATATGAAACAATATGTGCATATATAAATGAAAAACATGTGTACATATGTGAAAAAATATTTATAAATATATCCTTATATTTTTTAATATTTACACTTTTTCCCTCATTTTGTATCCTGTATAAATTAGAAATCACGTTTCATGTTTCCAGTTTCCGTGCTACTTACTGATTTTCTGATCTCAGCAAAAACCCAACCTGACTCGACCCTACCCAGCTCCTAAGCTGCGGAGCTGCCCCTTAAAGAAATGTTAAGAGTTCGCCACCCATCAATACATTAATCCCCTACCCATGATATCATCCAGAGATCCATTCATGTTCTGAAATGCAATACAAACTTCGGCAAGAACTTTCTCAAATTAAGCAAAGAAATTCAATAGACTAAAATAAATATACAGAATCAAGAAATGGAGGCAATGAAAATTCCAATTTGAAATTTTACGTTAATCAGATAATATGAATTACCGGCGTAGTTGAGGGTGTAAGATAGACCATTGCAGCCCCGAGCCTTGACGCCGAGCTTGAGAAAAGAGCGTTGGCGCTGCTGAAGGAGGTAGCGTATCCTATCGGCGGCGGAGTCGGTCAAGGTAATAGCCTGGCGGCGGGCTGCGGCGGCAATCTTCTCCGCTGCCTTGGATAAAACCGGAGCGGCCATGGATCGGACGTTTGTTTGGGAAATAGGAGAACCGTGAAAATGTGGGAAAACTGTCAAATAGGTCCTCGAACTTTCATAAAAAAGTCAATTAAGTCCTTCTATAGGAGACTCTGTCCGATCGTCGCGATTTGGAGCGGTTCCCGGTGGAATTTTTTGATGAATTTTTTTGAGCATCTTATTCATCAAGTCTAGTTTACTCATACCAAATTTCAGCTAAAAATTTAATCGGGAGCGCATTCAAATTAATTCGAGAACGCAAAAATGCGCAGTTATCTTCAAGAATTAATTTGAATGTGTTCCCGATTGAATTTTTAGCTGAAATTTGGTATGAGTAAACTAGACTTGATGAATAAGATGCTCAAAACATTTCATCAAAAAATTCCACCGGAAACTGCCCCAAATCGCGACGGCCGTACAGAACCTCCTATAGAAGGACTTAATTGACTTTTTTATGAAAGTTTGAGGACCTATTTGACAGTTTTCCCGTGAAAATGTGTTTCTCTTCTTCGCCTACCCATTTATTTTCCCATTTAACGGGTTGTATTTAACTATTTATGGTCTGGAGAAAAAAGCACAAAATTGTGGGTTTTGAAGAAAAAAAATTAATTGTTTTTTATATACCGAAAATATGATCAATCTTTGTTTAATACGGAGTAATTCAATTTTTCCCCTATAATCTATACTCAACCTTTCATTAGACAAATATTATACTCCCTTCGGCCTTAAATAAACTAGTAAACTCACCCGTGCGATGCACGGTTTGAGAATTTTTCTTTAAAATTTATTTGTGCTTAGTAATTCAAATCACACTATCAATTGATAATAACGTCTATCTTCATATAATACTGATATACATTAAAACATTAAGCGAAACACATTTATAATATTATGTTAAAAAGAGAGTACTAAGCATTACTTAAAAGATAAAAAACATCCAACGAATACGTTGAAACCATAACATTGTAAATATGCATTTAACATAAACCTAAACAATGTTGAACACTTCTTTGAATACAACATTCTGAGTATTGTCGGTGGCTCCTTCATCTTTGTCAACAATTAGAATTTTCAAACCACAACGATTGGTAACCTTGATATTGCAACATACAACTCTTCATGGGTAAATACCGGTTTTTTCAACAACAATCCAACACAGGACAAAGATTGACCTTGACTTTTATTTATAGTCATAGCATATGAAGTCATAATAGGATATTGTCGCCAATGAAATTTGAAAGGGAAGCTGACATGGGATGGCGTCAAGGACAATCTAGGAATTAATACTTCTTGTCCAACATTCACACCAGTTAAAATATTCCCCTCCAAAACATGATCACCGAGCCTCGTTACAATAAGACGTGTCCCGTTACACGACTCCATTGAATGATCGGTATTTCGTACACCAGACAATTTTATACTATTCAAGTATGGTCTGGTCTTGTTTGTTTAAGTTTGGTTTGGTCTGTGACTGAAATAAGTCTAAGTATAAACATCTCAAGTAATATGATGACTATGCATTTATACGAATTGCTTTTTTTACACGAATTGCCCGGGTACATTGGCAAATCAGGGGGGTGTGCAAATATGTGAAAGTGTGTTGTGGCATCACTAAACAATACTCAAATATGAATTTGTGAGAAGATGTTAGTTGAGTCCGTATATGAAAAGTAATGCTATCGTTTAAGCACAATAACTTCCGAAACACATTCAATGGGTAGAATCTATAATAGTTCCTAATTCAAAACTGAGTACAACTCCAGTGCGATGCTCGGTTTGTGAAATTTTAAGGGCGAAGCTTTACTCAAATTAGAAAAAAAAATCACAATAATCAAGTTTGATGTAAATTGAAATGTATTCAATCGATTTACGGAGTATCAATGATTGTGGAGTAGCACACAAATGTGTATTGTCTAACAAAATAGTAACACTCAATACGATGTACATTCTATCCTTGACTTCATGAAAAAGTTATTTATACAGAAAATTCTTGGTTTTACATTTCATTCTCATGTCATCGTTTGTGTGCAGTGTCATTTTTTACGTTTAGCGGATGCTTATTCTTGACAAAACCATGTAAAGATGATGACCATGACTAAAAATAGTTTTTCCAACAACGAACCAACACACGACAACGAAACATGCATAAAACACAAATGTGATACACAGTGGGTGAGTATTTTCAAATATGTATTTTTTAGAACTGATTCTGCTTCTGTTTTTTTTAAGCAAAAACAGAATCACGATCGGTTTTCGGAAGCTGGTCTCCCATACCTTCTAAAAAAACTGCTTCTAGGAGTAAATTAGAGCACCAAAATTACTTCTGCACCTTCACCCAAACACTCAAACTTGTGCTTCTGCTCCATAAACATAATTATAATTTAAATTACTCCATATAATAATAACTACTCCCTTCGTCCCTTAAAATTTTGTCATCTTTCCTTTTTGGGACGTCCCAAAAAACTTTGCCTCTTTCCCTTTTAATAAATTATTTTGTGGTTTCTGCTTTTTCTCCCTCCTCTGCACAAACCTCAACCACACAGTTTTTACTTTATTATTCTCCGTGCCTGTCAACTTTGGCAAAGTTTTAAGGGACGGAGGTAGTATAATAATAGTAATAATAATACTAAGGGATAAGGCTCAAATTGGACACTATGGTTTCATCAGAATCTCATATTTGACACTAAGGTTTCAAGTGGATCAAATTAGACACTATGGTTTCATATGTATCTCATATTGGATACTAAAGTTTCATAATTCATAGGTTTTGAACACTCACTTATATTGGATAAAGATCAAATTGGACACTCACTTATATATTGAATTATGAAACTTTAGTGTCTAATATGAGACACATATGAAACCATAGTGTCTAATTTGGTTCATTTAAAACCTTATTGTCAAATATGAGATTCTGATGAAACCATAGTGTCCAATTTGAGCCTTATCCCTAATACTAATAACAACAACAACTACAACAACAACAACAATAACAATAATAATAATAATAATAATAATAATAATAATAATAATTATAAAAGTGATAAATAAGATAAAAAAAAGTGATAAATCATGTTTGAAAATTTTCTAATCTGATATGATTTGAATGTTTCTGTCTGGTCTGATCTGAATCTTTCTGATCTGATATAAATTTTCTGATTTGATCTCATCTGAATAAAATAAGAATAAAATGAAGAGAACAACTTCTAAATATTCCTTATAGGATCATATTAGACGTTATACTTGTAAAAAATTTGAAGTGTTAATTTTGGGTATTCAACACTACAATAAAATAAACCCTTATTTTATGGGTCATACGTCATCAGCCCATTAAAGAAGCTTATAATTCGAAGTGCAACCCGTTAAACAACCCTATCTGCATATATCAGGCTCATTCGACCTTTCCAGAAACAAACACTTCATTTCTTCATCGCCCCAGTCCAAGTGAAGCAGTTCCTGTTGGTCGCCAGTTCGTGAAGATAAATCCATCTGAGCTACATGCCTACATCCGCGTATGAAACGACAATCCGACAATGAGAGATATATGACAACAGTAACAACACAACACTCTCTACCATCCTGAACAACGTCATTGATGAAATAGTTAATTTTAAAAAACCAAGTCAAATTTCTATACCCATTAAACTATATAGAACCGATACTTCTGTAGTTCTGTTAGGGTGTTTCATTTTTTTATTATCAGTACTTATATAAGCCTATCTGCCGTAAATAATAAAAACGATTAAATGTATTATTTTTTAATCCGTTTAATTACGCTCATAATCATTAGGAGGAGTAATTACAATTAAAATATGAATTAAAGTGCCAATGTATCTTTTGAGGTCGATTAAAGGAATTTCTTAAATAGATTAATTACTTTTTTTAGAAAATCAAGAAATTTTATATACACTCAAGGAATTTGACTTTACACCCCACTTTTTTTTAGACTTTGCACCCCATTTTTAAAAAACTTTGATTTTGCATCTCATTTCACTTCAAAATCATTTGACTTTGCACCTCATTTCACTTCAAAATCATTTGACTTTGCATCTCATTTAGAAATTTTCCTTTTTATATGATAGGATTCAAAGTCAAAGATTTAAAAAAATGAGGTGCAAAGTTTAATATGGGGGCAATTTTTTGAAACTTGGTGTGTTTTCTTTAACCAATTTAAATTCACCATGTGCACACTTGTACATGGAGATTCCAGAATATTGGTAAAATGCATACTCACTCTTCTAAATTAAGAAACGTTTGACTTGTAGACCAGAATACACGTGGATTTTGTTTCAAACACATTATGGGATAAGATTTGTTAAAAGATAAGCATTCATAATCATGCATATTTATTCGTGTCGTATTATTATGTCAGTTAGCACAAGTATTGTGTTTGTGATATCTCACCTACAAAATGCATAAACATTTTATACGTTTGTGGAAGAATAAAACTTCTCATTAGGCATCCACATCCATTTTATTTCTACATGAAAACCAAGCAATTTTTATGTGTTTAAAATTGCACGACAAAAAAATGCATATTTATAAACATTTTATTCATACTTTTTCATACCCTTTCTCAAAGGGCTCTTAAACATCTAAATACATACATATCTTATTGGTAATGTTCTTTGTGGAAGAATTTACGTGAATTGGGCCTCTTGGAAACTAAACATCTATATATACATCTATTTATTCAATCATAGCTATGAAATATTTTCCTACTATGCGCCTTATAGTAAGTTACACGTCTCTCCTGTTTTCTTAAGATGAATAATAACCGTCACCAAGTGCATTTCCCATTGCAAATGTGATCTTGAAATGCTGAAAAAAGAGTAGGAGAGAATGTCGTTTATCCATTTTTTAAATTCCAGATGATGTGTATATATTTCAAATTATTTTCCAAGACCTAAATCATTGAATATATTAAGTAGATCAGAAAACTAAACCAAGGTATTCGTACACTTTAAAAGAAAAAAAGAGGGAACTTTTATTAAAATGGGCCCGAAGGCTACTAAAAGTGGAAAGAAAACATATCAGTGG